GCGAAACGCAGCGGTTCTACGATTTCGGCGTACCAGATGACCAGGAATGGCTGGTAGACGAAATTGTTGGACACCGCTGGGATGGGAATAAGCTAGAACTCATGGTACGGTGGACCGTGGGCGAACACACATGGGAAGAGCTAGCAGAATGCGAAAACTTGCGTGCCCTTGACGATTACCTTGCTCTACTCGGCGTAGCGGACACTTCGGGCCTGCCACGCCGTGAGGTAAGCGCCATGGGCATCAGCCATGCGCTACAACCCGAGATAACGGGAACGAGAAGCCGAAAATCCGAAGATCGGCGCAGATCGCAAGATTAACAGCCCGATAAGCTCAAGTAGGGCTTCTCTGGTGCTCGCGCCTGCGCCTCACCCGTATCTTTCGCACTTCCACGCTCCCACCATGTCCTACCCACCGAACCAATACCAACAACTTCCCATCGCGACGGATGCGCAGGGGCCCACGCCGAACGGCTGGACCCATGCGCCGCCGCCGCCAGCCTCAACTCAATATTATATCGCGACGCCACATGCGGCTCCAAACGCCGAAATTGCGCCGCCTGACGTCGCCATGAACGGCACGATCGACCCTGCGTTACTCACAACGTCGGTCGGAGGAGGAGGGGACTACCAACGCGACGCTGCGCACAACGCTGTAAGTGCGCCGCCGCCCCCTTCTGCGCCGTATCCGGGACAATACGCCGGATTCTACCATGCTGGCCGATACCCTGCTGCTGCTCAAGTTCCGCAGTTCGCTCCACCAGCATACGGACACTACGTGGACCCGCTCACTATGGTCACGCAGTCGTTCCTCACCACTCAGCAGTCCCTCATGGGGCAAGTCGGCGAACTCAATGCCAAGCTAGCCACTGCCGAACACTCTCGCAATGACGCTTTGCGCGCTCGCGACGATGCAGTCGGCGCCCGCAAAGAGCTTGACAAGGAGGTCATCCGACTGAAAACGCAGCTCGCCGCTTCTGAAGAACGTGCGAACACGCTGCAGGTTATCAACAACCAGATCACCGCCCGGATCCGCGAGCTGGAGAACCAAGACTCGGACGCGCAGAGCCAACGATCTTCTAATGATCGGCGCGATCGAGATGAAGACAGCCGCCGGTTCGGACGTCACCACGATCGAGAGTACCGGCCGTACTACTCGAACGCGCGCCGAAGCGACCGCTCCAATTCGCGCGCATCCACCTACCACGGTTCGGCTCGGACTGAGCGGGGCAATAAACGTCCCGCTGAGTACGAGTCGGGTCCTTCGCGCAAGGCACCTTCTGCAAATGCGCCTAATCGCACCCCTGGGCCGAACTTCGCACCGGCCATTGCAACTTCTGCAAAGGCCTCTGCGAAGTCTGCCGAAAAGAGCACGGCCAAGGTCACCGTAGCGAAATTCGCTGTGATGGCCCCGCCGCCCTCTGTGCCTCAACCTACGGGTCCTTCTGTGACTGTTCAGGCGCAGCCTGAGAGGCTCATTACGGACCCAGACTACAATTTCGGTGACCTTACTAGGTCGTCACTTCGCTCAACTCGTGGTCAAGCGGACCCCTCTCTCGCCGGCCACCCCGAGACTCCATGGTCGCGGTGGTACGCCGATGTGTCTCTAGCGGACACACGTAGCGAGAGCGAACGCAACTACGCCTCCTACTACCTCGACGCCAAAACGTCCGGCAACATGGGACCTGACGCCGAGAAGAAGGAGACGAACGACCTCAAGAAGCGTCTGGCCAGCACGCACGGAAAGCCCTCTAGTGGGGACTTCGAGCGTCTGGACCTAGGCCCTTGGAGCGGACTCCGCATCGTGACTGCCGTTCAGGCGCAGAACCTGCGTATGGCCGCACTCGCGAAGAGCCCGCCGAACCACTACGCAAAACGCGCGTACTGCTGGGTCTATCAGCAGCACGTTGAAGGCCGAACTCGGCGCAGCGAAGGCGAGCGGTACCTTGTACGCTCGTATTCGCTGGACCGAACTGACGCTCTCATGCCGTTCGACGACGCACTGGCGGCCGTCATCAGCTTGTCCAGCAAGGGCAAGACGGCCACTCGCGAAGTCAACTCCGTTGGATACCGTCCTCCTGCGACGGGCACCATCCCTCTTCCTCCGAACGCTCTGGAAGCCATGCGCGGACCGGATCCGCTGCCTGCCGCTCCTTCTATGGATACGCCGCTCCCCACTCTCATTTCGGACCCCACTCGGCCGCGTATTCCCTCTTCTTTCGTCATTCCGGTCACGACGGACGACTGGCGCGATCACCTCAACTGCCTCCTGCCGACCATCATCCCAGGCGACGAGTCGCACATCGCCGCACACATTCGGGACTCCCATCCGATGCTCTGGCCGTCGGCCGTCCGTGACACGAACGGAGCTCTCCCTGAAGAGTCCGCCGACGCCGAAGATCGCTGCGAACCTCATCCAGATGACTGCGCCGCGCTTGCTGTGCTCGCCATCGCATCGCCGCGCCGGCCTCCCTTTGGTGTCGCCGAAGAGTACGGTGAATCCGCATTCTTCCGTGGCGCGATCGAACTCTTCTCCGTCGAGGGCCTCTACTCCCTCATTGTGAACCTCGGCCAGTTCGTCCAGGCAAAGCCCGACATCCTTCCGGCCGATATGGCCTTCCCCTTCGACTGCCGCGCACTCGAACTTCACCACATCGCCGCCTGGCTCGCACTCCTTGGCCTCAGTCCAGGCGATCAGCGCGTTCGCCAACTCCAGCACCTCGCCGCTGCGATGCGCTCTCACCTTCGCGCGCCGGACTCCGTCATCCCCACCCTGGCCGAATTCACCACCCCTGCATTCCTCGGCACTATCCCCCGCAGCAGCGCGCCGAATTTCGGCGCACGCATCCCCCAGTACACCTCTGTGCCGGACGTGGAGATGAAGGCTGAAGACGCTACCCCCCCGATCGCGTCGAGTTCGTCGACTGGCGCTGTCGTGTCTACCTCTGCGGCCCCTGTGTCCCCCTCCGCTATCTCCATCTCGTCGGGGCCCAGCGTTGAGCGCAAGTAGGACCGTCACTGCGGTCCAGAGGAGGAGGATGTTAAGGTACGGGCGCGCAGGGCGCGCACGTGCCGGATTTCGGTGCCGGAGTTCGGCGTACCGGCCGAATTTCGGCCACGCTGCGAGCAGGGCTCGGGCGTCTTGACTTCGGCGAAGTATTTCGCCGAACTTCGGCCATCAGATCGGGCGATCTGAGACCATACGGACTCTTATGTACTCTACGCGCGTCCCACGGAAGCGAGCTTACCTCTACCCGCACTACCGCTGTATTCGTTACCTCAATCGAAGGTTTGGACGAGTCTGGCACCGGTGCGATCGTATATTGTCATTTTACAGTTGGACTCGCACCACGATCTGGCCGTCACACTGGGCCTCGCCGTCTCGCCGACATCCGCATCCTGCTCGAAGAGTACCGACGTCAAGAACTTCACCTGCTCCGCCCTGGGCGCACACTGACTCCAGGTGATGAGACGAAGAACACACGCCACAGCAGCTTCCGTGCCGGGGTCATCAAGCTCCGAAACGGGAAGTTGAAGAAGTGGCTTGACAACTCGCTGTCTAGCCGAGGCTCACAGCCATCAAGGGCTGACTTGTCCTCTTCCAAATCTGGCACCACAACTCTTCTGTCTCAGACAGAGCTTGACCGCGAACTTGATGACAACTTTCCGGCAACTGTCGACGAGATGCTCCGGTTCAGCGGAGTGCCGGATGAGGACAACGAGGAGCACGCACGGCAGGGTTCTTGGGATGAGATGCTGACGCTTCAGGATGCAGACATAGAGGGAGACGTTGATGAGCTTTTGGAGATGCTGGAGAGGGTTGGTGATGAGCACACACCAGATTACATCAGCGCGTCGGAGGCAGATGACGAAGGGGAGTACTAGTTGGACCTACCTCTCTTAGGGCATCATCTGGTCTGTGTCAGGTCCTGCTGGAAGGCGGCGAAGTACCAATGTAAAGCCTTTCACCGTCAATCCGTAGTTGTGTGCAGTGGAGGTTGTGTCCTTCGCGTGTTCACCCTCGATATCCGAACCACTGCCAGACATCTCACCACCATCACGTGACTCTGCGTCAGAGTCGCTCTCGCTCTCAACCCTCGAGCGGCCATCATCGCAACCACCCTCGCCACTGGGAGAGGCCACCTCTGGTGCGGTATCCGGTGGCAGTAGGTGCTTCGTCTGCACAGCCTTCTTCAACTGACGAGTGAGCTTTGCTTTGAGTGCCTTTTCTAGTTTTGTCTTCGCATCAATCTCCCTGTACTCCTCTTGTAAACGAGTCACGATGTGTAAAATATCGGAGAGACGTGGAAGGGATAGGTGTGAGTTGTGAGGTGAGAGGAGATGTTGCAGTGAAAGGATGTCGGAGATGCCAAACACGTTGTTGAGGATGATCTCGATGGCCTTGTCGGGTAGAATCTCCTCGGCTGTATAGAGATCCTCTGTGAGATCATCTGCACAGAGACGAAAACGGGTGCAGAGGGACTCGAGCTGCAAGTAACCATGTGCTCGCATTGACTTGGTCACGTACGGCTGCCCTGGTGGAGGTTTCTGGCGTGGGTGACGTGACTCTTGTGTGTTCAAGATCACCAGAAAAGTCAGCCCGTGAACACATTGTAGTGTTAAGTACATACCTGTCAATGCCTCAGACAAATTATCTATGTGTCCTGGAGCGTCGTCTTGATGGCAACCACTACAGAGACAAGGGTTCGCACGTGGAACAGGCGGATGGGCACAACATGTGCGACACGTGCAAGGATCATCCTCCTGCGGGTTGTCGTACAGCTTGTCGATGATTGCAACCTTGCATGCAGCTAGCACGAACTTGGCCACCGCTGGATCAAGGGAAGGTGAGTTGTCAGTGCCCGCCCGTGTTTGAGCTGTCCTCTTGCCCTGTCCAGTCTTGCGTCGAGATTTGGAAGCCTGTATAGTGGTTTGGTGCTGAATGAGACTCGTATCTTCCAGCCGAACTCCAGGAAGAGCTGCTTCACATCGCTCAACCGTGTTCCGAGGGAGATACACAATAACACAAGAGTTCCTGCCTCGTCCATCGCGTGCTCTTCCCTCTTGCTGTTTAACGCTGCTAATGTCCTTTGGAAGATCGCATTCGAAAAGCACCACATGGTCAACCGAATGCAAGTCGACTCCGATCGACAGACGATCAGTTGCAACCGTGACAGTGTGATTAGTCGTCCCTGGGGGCTGAGACTGCAGCAGATTGTACGTCGCAGTGTTGTAAGAGTCCCAGTTGAGGCCGTTGTATGAGCGAACTTGGTCGACACTCGAAGCCGAAGACGACGCAAGCTTGGATGTGAGATAGGAGTGTACGCGGTGGGAGACTTTGAATGTTCGACAGAAAATGAGGATATTGCAGTTTTCGGTGAGCACCCAGTCGAGCTCCGGATAGCGCGAGGATAGAACCGGTGAGGACATGATACGGAGGACAATGCGGAGGTCGTGGCGCGCGTTGGAGCGTCGCAAAAGGTAGAATTTGTGATTGTCGACCAGGCCCAGTGACGCACGAATAAGACGGAGCTCCTCGCCAGCGAGGAGAGTTGCTGTGAGGGCGATGATAAGAGGAGGGTTGTGGAGCCGGAACCGCATGCGGGTCGACCCAATCTCCAGGAACTTTGTCCGAAAACTCGTGCCCCAAGTGGTGAGGAGATGGACTTCGTCAACTCCCATAGCAGCGACCCGCGATTGGTACGCCATGTCCTGAAGCAGGGTCTCGAACCCTTTCGATATGAGCTGTTCAGGCGTCACAATCAAGACGTCGTGGTCCGGTACCTCGCGCCACAGCTTCCGGGGGAGCTCCTCACGCAATGCGTGATCCAAGGTTGTTGCATTGATGACCAGCGGCCGTAGGCCGCACAACGTGAATTTCGCAGCCTTTATGTACATGCATCAATATCGCGTGACTCGTGAGGGAAATGATAACAGAAACAGACTTACCATGCCATCCTGCAGCGCCAAGGTCGGACACGTAACAATCATGGTCGCGTTGGGCCGGAAGTGACTGGGCAGCGCAGAGGAACAGAGGGATGGGTCGGCCGTTACTGTGTGCATCACGAGCAGGAACATCGTGAGGAATCCTGTCTTCCCTGATCCAGTGGGGGTAACAGCGAGCAAGTCGGCACCATCGAGGGCTCGTGTGACTCCGTCGAGCTGGTAGTCGTGGGGATCATAGCCGGCGCGTTGGGATATTATCTGTCGGCATAGCGCACGGCCTGCTGGGGTGCAGAACTTGAAGACGGGCCGCGAGGGCGTGTGTGGGTCGGCAGATGTAGGTTGCATTACACAAACATAGAATATGGTAGGGCGATACAGCGATGAAGGAGCGGACAAGCGTTAGGCGCCTGCTCGACGCGACGCGTCGAACGCGTTCATGTATACAGCACGTGCCGTCAAAATTTCAAATGTCTGGCTCTCAATTTCAAATGGGGGACCTGCGGTTTCGCCGTCCCAACAGCGCGCAGACTAGGCTCCTCCAGTGGGCACGATGGTGGATAGGACCGATTATATAAGCGAGCCTACCAAAAGTTGCTCTCTAGCGCTGATCCACAACAGTGTGCTCGTGACTTGAGCGACGCCAAAAGACGCCAATTTCAGACATAGCCAACCTGATCATCTCTAGAGCGCAACACTGGCCGCAAAAATGAGACTGTTCAATGCGTCTTCATCCCCCTCCGACCGGCATTTCTGACAGTGACAGACTCGTTCAAGCTGTCACTCCCTCTGATTTTGAGGGCGCACTTGTCACAGGCGCTGACACGGTGCGCTGTCAATGATTCAGTAGCCGACATTAGGACTGATCATAAGAGAGCCTTTGCCGAGCCAAATCGAGCGCTAGATGACTGTCACGCCTTCAGAACTCAATCTGTACTGCTGACGGCCACGAAGGCGCATCCTCGCGGAGATTTTACAAACCGCTTTGAAAGTGCGCAAGAATGACATTCCCAAAATTCCAAGCAGGGCGCGGGGAGAGGTGCTTCAGCCAAGACCCATTAAGGGTGGGACTTCTCCCCTACTAAGTTGTCACTTCTCCCAAAGACATAAGTGCATCCTCGGGATCGGACACAGCTTGCGTTGGAAGGACGCGAAACTTCACACATGGATGCGTGAGAAGACATCCTAGCTAACCATAAAATTGCATGATTATCGGTGGAGTACTGGAGCGCAATTCCCGTTTGTCAGGGCCCGTCCGAACACCCCGGGAGTGATAATTATGGAATTCGATTGGACAATATTGAATCGCGTGCGCACCGTCACGGCCCATGTCACGGCGCTCAGCTGAAACGCGCTAGTGAGCGCTTGAGCGCTGGTCCTACACTGTCACGCCTTCATGGACAGATTTCTAAATTCTGACAATCAACGCACACGACCCCTCAGAGAAATTGGCGAACGGTTCTAGAGTATTCAAAAAGTACATTTCTTAATTTTCAGGCGGAGCGCTGAGGATGGGCCTTCAGGTCACGCGTGCGCGGCAGTCAATTAAGTAAGTACACTCGTAATATGGGATCCCCGCACTAGCGCTGGCCCTGGAGACGTCTTCCGCTCTCCCTCGTTTCCGTTGCTTCCGCTCTCCTTCCGCCCCCTTCCTCTCGGTGCGTGGCGTAGCCCGGCGAAGTTCAAGTCATCGAAATAGCACTCGATCGCTGCTGCACCGCCTGCCCAGGGACATGCGCCCGCAGGGGGCGTTCTGGTCGGCCTCCGGCCGCTTCTCGACATGTTTGTTTCCGCTTTCCCTCTTTGACGAGAGCCGTCTAGCTGCACGCAGCCGATCCTATCCAATCATTCATGGTCCGCGACGTGGCTGGTAATGTCCTGGCTCGAATCTCCAGCATCCCCCGCCCTCTCCGCTGTGCCTTTCCGGTGGCGTGGCGTGGCCGATTGCTCCGGCATCCCCAGTACGACGGCATACGTCTGCTTGCGGAAGGCCAGGGGCCAATTCGTCCGCCGCGTTAGCACACTCCCGGGATCGAACTTCTTTCGGTCCTCCCAGTCTCCACTTATATATTGGCAGCAGGCGAGACCGATTCTTCACGTAGTCTTCCTCCCGACTAGCGCTGTGAACTGGTGAGTCCTGCCCTCGTGTTCCTTCGGCTGGCATATGCTCACACTCTGGTAGATACTCGCTCCCTTCAACTTTGAGCACGGCCATGGGCAGTCAACCGACGTACGCAGCCGTTGATTGTAACGTGATCTAGCGTGCTGACGTACGCGAACCAGTCTTCAGAACAAGTGGGCGGTCATCGGAGGAGCCCTCGGTAGGTGGCACACCCGCAGTACGAATCTAAATTGTCTGACGCCTTCCCTCGGCCCCAGGCCTCATAACTTACGACCACATGATCTCGATTGGTCGCGAGGTTGAGTACGTCTGGAGGAAGAAGATGACGACTGCAGGCGGAATATATATCGCCATCCGCTACGCATCGTTGACCTCCAACATGCTCATATTCGTCAATTTCTTCCCTTGGCCTGGAAAATCATCACCAGTGAGAACCTTCCCGAGCCCCGATAGACGCTAGATCAATCTGACGCCCTTGACCTGGCAGAAGTACGCAACTGCGACTGTTCGCGCCTCCTCTCCTTTGCAGTGCACGCACTAATCTGCGCTACGGCCCCGCAGGTGTGCAGGGATCACCGTGGCGTTTGATTTAATGGGTGCTATCATCATCATGGGCGCCGCATGTGAGTTCTTCAGTCGAAAGCTGAGTGCTGCCAACGACTGATCACAGTATGACATAGCGTTCTCGTCACTGCGAGCGTACGCGTTGTGCCAACGCAAATACATTGCTGTCATAGTTTTAGTGCTAGGGTGTATGAACGCCGTCCCCTCGATCGTGAGCATTGCCGTCCTTTCTTCCCCTTCACTGTGTCGAACTCAACCCTGGGTCTCGCCCAGTACGCCGCGATTAGGAACAGGGCCGGATACAACCCAGGACCCAACAACCTCCGCACCGTCTGCGACGTAGATTTCTCGCAATTCCTACCACTCCGAAAGTAAGCGTGCGACCTGTATTGTGGATCGAGCTCGGGCTAATCGCCTCCTTTTACAGTGGTTCGTTGTCGTTTTATCTCTCGGTAGACGTCACTTGACTTGGTACCAAACAGCGATCATCTTCGGGCGTTCCTGCGGGGTCATCAGCGATTTTATTGTTTTGGTTTTGACATGGAGACATGCAGGACCGCGTAAAGGCGGACCGAAGAGGTTTTCCATTACAACGGCTCTTTTCCAGAACGGTAACTACCTTGCTTTGGGTCACCGAGTCTGTACATTGACGCATCCACTACATTGTAGGTCTTGCATACTTCGGGTGAGCGATGCTTCCCTTCCGCGTTTGTCCTCGTCGCTCACATTTATGCTCCCAGTGCACTTTGCTTTGTCAACCTCTTGAATCTTGTTTTGGTCAACCACGTCGAGGTGACACTGCGGCGCTTCATGCGCTTGATACGTCTACCAAAGCTCAAAGCTGATTCCGTCTTTCCAGCTTTTGCTCAACCTCCTCGGCATCATCAGCACGTGCGTCCTCCCTCCATCTCGCTCCGTCTTCTCCGCTCATAACCCCCTGACGCAGCACGACGGTGGTCTTGACCTGCCGCTTCATCCTCGACTTGTTCGAAGCGAGCGACGGCACGCGCATGGACACCCTCCCAACCGTGCCCAGCATGGCGCCGTCGCGCGCCGTCGCGTTCCGCAACGTCGGGACCGTCAGCGCGAGCGGACCTTCGCAAGGGGTGTTCGACGCGGACCTCACGTGGCGCGCCGTAGACGACGGCGAGAGCGTCTGCGACAACAAGCACGACTACGGCTACGAGCTCCAGGTGAACCCGGGTCGGAAGTAGTCCCATCGGTGAGCCTTGTACCGCTTGCGGCGGTTAAGTTGTCGCCACGTTGAGGCGACGCGCGTTCGTTTTTTTCGCTCGCGTCTTCTGTCTTAGCGCTCCTGGGATGTTTCGGGTTCTCCCATTCTGCACTCGCCCTCGGCTCCTTCCTTCCCTTTCCGTCTCTCCGACCTGACTCTGCGCACACTGTACTTCACTCGTACAGTACGGTTACCCATATGTAGATCCGTAACACTCATCTGAATCTAGACGTCACATGTGTCTCTTCTCGTGCGGACCTCTTCCCCCATTCGTGTCCCGCCACCGGCCCCATCCGACTGCGAACGCGAGCTGGGTCTCCGATCGTCAGCCAATACACACTTTCGCACTACTGATCAGGCAGACATACGAAAGCGAGGGGGATGATGGGGGCTTGAGCGGGCACTTCCCATATGTGCAGCGGTATCTGGGGCGTAGCCGCGCGCAGTGCCCGGCGGCCTGCGCTGCCCTTGATGCGGCTTGGGACGCTTTCTGGCGCGATGTTGCTGAGATCCACCAATCGGGTTCTTGCGAGTCGCGTGGTGTGTCCAGTTAAGAGAAAGAGGCGTCGATCGACAACGAGGAAGGGCGCCGCGAGCTCCCGATCCATTGACGCTCGCACCCGCTGCTGGCGACGCCTCGCACCAACGCGGTTGTCCGCCCGCCTTCCTGAGTGCCTTCGTTTGGCCGCGTTCGCTCTGTCATGGACCGTGAAAAGACGGGGTAAAGAGGAGAAGGAGATATATGCGGAGTCCGGGTTGCGTTACATCTACCCGACACCGCCGGCACAACCACGTCCTCCGGATCCGGATGACCTCTTTCCACCGCGGCATCGTTGGCGCCCTTGGCAGAACCTCCCAGCGTTCACTGTTGGCAAGCTCGAGGAGGCCTCGTGGTAGCGGCGGCGGCGACGGGGCTCCCGAGGGTACGATGAACGACCGTCAGGCACGCGCCAATATGGAGCGAGAGAGCGTGGCGGCCGGTATGACACGAGCACACGAAAACGCGAGCCACCGCGAAGCAGGAGCTACGGCATGCGGTGGGGCGCAAAAGCAGTCTCGGAGTCGGCCAGATCTCGATGGGCTTTGGCTATCACGAGAGCATTTGTCAGCCTCACGCCCGCGCCTGAAAGTCCGTGCAATCGCACCTGCGGACGAGAATACAGGTCCTCGAGCGGGGAGTAGGGTCAATGACACCCGAGTTGAGCTTGATGCCTCCAGAGTGTAGATATAGAGAGAGAAAGCTCGTTCTTCGTCATACCGCCGCGCGCGACAGCGGAGCATCGTTGGCGTTCCCTGCTGTCGGTGTGCGGAAGACGTTAGCTGCGCACGGCAGGCGGGGACGACGTCATGTGTACTTACCCGACCGAGGACTGCAACGCTTCGGGTGATTGATGCGCACAGGACGTTCGCTGACGGGGGGATCGTACGAGCACCCGTGGGGGGCGCCGGAGATGCGTGTATTCGTCCATTGGGAGCTGCTGCTCGGCGGATGTCTCCCAAGGCCAATCCAGATGCGGCCAGCGCGGGCAGAGTGATCGGTGTTGGGCGCGTCCAACCAGCAACGAGAGCCATAACGTCTGCGGCGTAAGTCGCCTCGTGCCGCCCAGCGCGGAGAAACGCATCGAGCGACTTCCGGCAGGAGTCACGAGGTCACCGTGATAGAAAGGGGAGTGTCCACGCAGGCACGCCGTTGCGATTTGGTGGTGGGTGGGCTGGAGGGCCCCTGACCGTGATAGTGAAGTCGCCCCGAAATCGCTCGGGGCGGGATCGGACAGAGTCGTGGCTTCAGTCGTGCAGGCTGACGCGTTTCTGTCGGTAAGAGTCAGCGGACGCATCACGGTGGCATAGTTGAGGGCGATGTCATAGACTCTTGGGTTGAGGAGAGGATGCTAGCCTGCAGAGGGTGGGCGCGGAGAGCGCCACAAAGGGCAGATACAGGTCGATGATGGGGCATGACGGAATGGGCGACCTCAACCTCGTAGAGGCCAGCCGCTGGAGCGTGCGTAACCGCAGCGGGAGGCATGGTCATCGCGGCTATGGGTGAATCTGGGAGTAGCGAGATCGTCGCGGAGGACGGGGCGCAAGTGGCTGGTGCACGAGATCAGGCGTAGTGCGCGAATGATCGCACGACATATGTCGTGCCTCATTGTGAAAATAGGAGTGGAAGGAGTTCACCAGCCTGGACATGACGCGCGATAGACGACTTGAGAGGTGAGACGCCACATATGTAGCAGAACCCGAGAATGCTCGGACTTGCGTAGAAGGTTGCGAACACCGAGATGTTCTGAAAAGCCGATGGCGACGCGGCGATGCGGACTCAAGTGAACGAGGGGGAAAGAGCAAGCTGAAAAAGGACTGGCGGGGTCCCCACGCTGGAAGCTGTTGGAGATACCTCGCATATGAGTTTCACATGACGGCAGGGCAGGGTGCGAGAGAGGGCGGTAGGAGCAACTGGGACACCTCCGGCCCGAAGACGCGCCAGGAGGAGCAGATGAGGGGAAAAGTGCGGTTGAAGCGCATATTATTGCGTCAGAACATAGAGCAGGTAGACCGGAGTACATTGGGGAGGAACGAAGAAAATCGTAGACGCAGAACGAAACGGAGAGGGTGTGACGAACCTCGGAAAATGCGGTAGCGTCTACACATCTCTGCCCACGGATAGCTTCAAGTAGGTGCATAGCTTCATAAAATGGAGTCGGAGAAGAGGGAGGGGCGAGGGATTCCGAGAGCGCGGTCGAAAGGATGTTCGCAAACTCGCTATCGCCGAGCTCCAGTTGTGGACTTTGGGGCGGGGGATGAGAGAGCGCGACGTTTACGGGAGTGCAGTCAAGGCAGGAATTGACGATGAGAAAGAGGCTGAAGGCAGCGGAGAGCGTCGCGGAGCCGTCGTCGACGACCGCGCGCTTGGTCCGGCGGCCGGCCCAGCCTTGCCCGACTAGCGCCCATTACCCGCGCGCGCTCGACTGTTTTCCTCGGCGGTTTCTTCGTTGCCACTTCCCTCAATGGTTCCGAAAAGCAAGCAGACGTGCGTTATCGTCGTGAACACTTGACGGCCTCATCTGCCGACCCCCAGTCACTCTGATCAGCCAGCATTGGCAAGCCTCTGCCCATGCCCTTCGAGATGCATGGTGAAAGCGATTAAGGATTCTGGCCATATGAGACGATCCTCAAGAGCAATGAGCCCGTCGTTCGTGAACCCCTCCACTACGGCCGTTCACTGCGACCTCCTCCCCCCTCATGTTGAGCATGTTGATCACCCAGCCTCTAGTCATCAGCATCCCCATGCTCAAGATCCCTCTCCTGATCTCCTCGGCCATATCTTTCTATGGTTCAATGACCCATCCACGCACCAACGCACCACCAGGGCCCGCATCGTCCGTCGACGTCGCTCGAATGGACTTTCTCACCAGAACCATGGATGCCCAGGTTCCCCTCATCACAATGTACAAGGTTCGTCTCTGCGCGCGACCCCCACGATCCTACCTGTCGCTCATTCACGTCACAGTACATCGTCTGCGGGCTGGCCCTAGCAGAGGCGGGCCTCCTCGCCGCTCACCTCGTTCCCCCGAACCCGGTCTCCGACGCCATCATAGCTCTCCTAGGCACAGGTTCTGCGCCATCTTCCCTCCGCCCCTCCTCCACTTCCGTCCTCGGCCTGGTCTGCACCACGCTCGGGGGACAGATCCGCATATGGGGCCAACGCGCGCTCGGGAAGCACTTCACCTGGAAGGTCGGCGTGCAGGACGACCACGAGCTCATCACCGGCGGTCCATACTCCGTCGTCCGGCACCCGGGCTACGCCGGCGGGCTGCTCATGCTCGCCGGGACGCTGGCGTACGTCTTCGATCCGGCGTCGTACTTCGTCGTCTCGAAGTGGGCGCAAATGACAGTGGGCAGAGGGACGGGGACGTGCGTGGCGATCTGGGTGCTGCAGTTCGCGATGCTCGTGCTGCAGAGGGTGGGAGAGGAAGACAGGATGTTGTCGGAGAGATTTGGCGAGCAGTGGTCGGGATATGCTGCGCGCGTTCCGTATCGCCTCGTCCCGTTCGTGTACTAGGTGACTGCGTCCGGTTTACACTAACAAGTCATGTTCGTATCGTTTCCTAGGCCCATACATACGCGGACTACGAACTATAATCACGAAACACGAAGTATAACTTTGCAGTACTCGCTGCAGCGCACGGAGCCCATCAGTGCTATGCACGCATTTGCGAAGAGGTAAACCGGCATGCTCTTGCTGGCTGAAATCATCGGAGCCAGGAACAAGGCAATGACCACCACGCGCTGTAAGGGTGATCACACAAGTGAAGGGTATGTAATAGGTAGGGACATGCATAGATATTGGTATCGACACCAAAATGGCAACACCTGAGGCGGCGCACGCACAAGCGCATGTAACTGGTAGTTGATGCATGTGTCGGAGTCGTCTACAGCCAGCTCACGAGATGAGACGCAGGTGATGGGCGACCTTGACTCCGTGTTGTCGTACGCGACGGATATGGCATATACGGACCCTGCGAGATCTGATTCACTGCTCGCAAGGGTTCGGCCGTTGCAGAACTCGCACATCGGATATGCGTAGGCTCTCTATGTTGTTCATCAGTGTCGAGGAGCGATAAGAACGAGGTGTCTACTAACCTGAACAAAACAACCATGGTCCCAAAGAAAGGAAGCGGAGGGATAGAATGGGAGGATATTGGTGGTGATCTCACGGGAAACTCGTCTGTTGTGCGCCCTTGCCTGAGCTTCCTTCACGAGATACCTCGGTCAAGACGTTCGCGCGGCTGGCTGGACTGGAGACGCTACGGAGAGCAGGTCAGACACAATCTCCGGCACATGTCGGGGTGCAAGCGAGAAGGACGGCCACGGTGCAGGTAGAGGGAGATGAAAGAGGAGGGAAAAGAAAATTTGTAGACGCAGACAGACAGTATGAACGCGACGTACTTTTGCAAGAATCGTGCAGGAGGAGTAGCGGGGAAC